TTTTAATTGAAAGAGTGCTTTTTTTAAACCCGAATTTACATCTGAAGAAAGAAAACATGTAACAGATACAATACATAAGATCAATGGAGAAAAACTAAATCCCATCCAGGTATTATTTACAATTTAATTAAAGGATTACTTGTATTATTTACATTATTCGGATTGTTATCCCCATCTTCATTGTCATATTCACGGAGTTTCGGCTGTTGTATGCTCTGGCATTCTTCAGGTGATTGGAATTTTGAACTGAACCCTTTATTTCATCCATGGGGTAGATTGTTCTAGTTCCACATGCCATGCCTCTTCCGGATATCTCAGTTATTCCCCTTTAATTCAACTTTCTAAGTTTTGGTTCACCACTGCTGTGGCTTGGTATTGAACTCACAATTCTTTGGGTCTAGTCACTGGATCTAACCAATGTCTTTATCCACTGGGTCATGTGAAATATAGACAGATATTGATTTAAGGAATGTACAAATTTTTTACATATCAAATTTTTTTGTTTTTTCATATATGACATATCCCTTTACAACATAAGCAGTCATGACTCTCCACAGATTCCTTTTCTTTATTATCTGCTTAAAAAAAATAGTAGATTCCTATTGCCTTCTCCACAGTTTTAGGGATTCAGAGTTGTCCCTCTCCTAGACTGGCTGCCACTCAAGGCAAAAGAGCCTAGTCTATCTTGATATTTTAACCCAGGTGGTGGAAGGAGAAGTATGTTTTCCAAGGACATTGGTGTAAAAGTGAATGCAACAGTCTAGGGTGGAATTTTGAACTTGATTCTTGTAAATTCAAAATGAAAATAGAAGAATGGATTTAATTTTGAGTCTAACACTTTTTGTATGTATGTAGTGATTTTCCAAGCGTAGCTCAGATGTGGCACAAGGCCAAAAATATGTGGCGCCAAGTGAGGATTGAACTACTCAGTCATAATAGTTCTAGCATGACAAGCTTGCTAACCATTACACCACCTCGAGATGCCCACTTTTTGTATGTATGTATACTATAGACCAAATGTATACTATAGACCAAATGTTTGGGTACACCCCTAGATTTAATAATTGGTCTCATATTCATTTTGGTTTAATTAATTCCTATAAAGCTTGGATACTGAAATGTTGAATTTTTTTTAGAGAGGGTTTAGATAAATTTAAAATCCACCTATCCTAAGATTACCATTAGCCAGCAAGGTAGATTAGGCAAAAAAAGCTAAAATTTTAAGGGAAATTTATGCAATAATTAGTTAATTTCATTATTATTGTTATTATTGAATATATGATAAAACTTTATGAAGAGAAAGTCCCACTGGTGAGTGATTAAAAGTAGTTTCTGTTTTTGGTCAAATCGTTGAAATCCAGAGGTCAGTCACAAATTGTTTTTGTCGGCCATAAACTTTTCACTTAAGTATTTTGGGCTAAGGTATTTTTAACAAATCTTGATTTTATTTTTTGATTGTGGTTGCAATAGAAATTAATTAAATCATTTTTGTTAGAGTGTTTACAATAAACTCTAAAACCAGGATTAGTCATAGGATTCTACCTCAGAGACCTTAGGATATATAGCCCAGAATACCTATGTGAAGAGAAATACATTGAAAAAAACATTTAGACTTCTTCAATACCCATATCATTTCATCTTCAATGCTAGAAAATGAGCTTACAAAATCCACAAATCCCCAAAACTAGACCCCACTTATTACAATAACACAATATATATATATATATGATATAATGATATTTTCTATAATTTTATATATCAACAAACAGTATTTAGAAAAACATGACAAACAGGAAAGTTTTTTTTGTCTCTCATTTTGTGCGCGTGTGTAGACATGGCAATGTCAATAAAGCCCAGTCTGATGAAATCCTAATGTGGATGAAATGTGTCACAAAAATATACTTTTCAGTTTGTCATATCTTTCTAAATATATATATATATATATATATATATATATATATAGTTGTTGTTAGAAGTGCTATCAGTGGTGTCTAGTTTATATATATATATATATATATATATATATATATATATATATATATATATATATATATATATATATATATATATATATATATTAATAAATATACATATTATCCCTCATCGATAGTACGACTCAGAGTTTCATGCACAACGTGAACTGAATATACTCCTCATAATGAGAATAATGTCTGCCTAGAGATAAAAAAAATCATAATAATGAAAGTGTGCAGGAAATGAAACTGTATCTTCTTTTTAATCTTGGAAACCTTTCATTCTATTTTTCCTTTTGTTTTCTTTTTTTCCTTCCTTCTTTCTTGTTATGCTCTTCAAGGTTTTTATATTTCCTTTTCTTTTCTTTTTATTTCTCTTCATTTTGTTTATGTCTTTTCCATATTATTTTTTCCTTTTTTTATCTTTGGAATTTTCTGTGTTTTCTTTTTCTTATCTTTTATCATGTTTTGTTTTTCTTCTTTTAGTTTTTATTTTTTCATTTATCTTTCCTTCTATTTTGGATTAATCTCTGACTTTTATTTTTAAGCTTGATGTAAAAAGCAGTTCCTTTGGAGATGGGAAATTTATCAAGTAGCTATAGTAGTTTAAATATATATATATATATATATATATATATATATATATATATATATATATATATATATATAGACAAAATCTATAAAAACACGAAAAACAGGATGTTTGAGGGTTTTATTCCTTCTATACAATTTCTTTCATTTATTTTGACATGTCAACTTTTATTCTGTCATTCTCTTGTAACTATTTTTCTTTTCTTTCATCTTTTGTTCCTTATTTCCTTTGTTTTTTCCTTTTCTCTATTTCCTTTATTTTATTTTCTTTTTTTTTTTTTACTGTTTTTTCTTTCTATGTCACTTTCATACGTTCTGCTTCTTTTCCATTTCTTTTCCCTGAAGGAGAAACGCTTCCTAGGTCTATGGAAAGTGCCAAATGCATACCCAGTTATTTTTTTAATCCTTTCACTTTAAGCAAGGCAATAAAGCCACTAAGACTCAAGAGGTTACTGAGTGTGAAAGAATGTGAGAAAAAGTAAACATTATTAAGGAGAGAGAACAATAAAAGAACAGGAATTAAGAAGACTGAAGATAATGATTGACATTGTATTTAAGTTTTTGGAGATCAAAATTGACCAGAAAGCAAGGAGTGAGTTCCACAAGCAAGATGTGCAAGAGAAAAAACTGTTAACATAGAACTTATGGTTACATTTTGCTATTTCAATTGTAAAATGATGAGCCATTGCCACAAATCTACAAGTTTACAAGAATGCAGGTGAACGCTCATCTCCATAGCAATATCACCCCATCAGCTTTCTCAACAAACTTTTTGAGACTGTCATCAATAAGAAGGTTGTCAATCACCTCAACAGTAATAACCTCCTGAGCAACAGTATTTCACTACTCAAGGTCTACTGCTGATGTCTTATCTATCATTATGTATAGAATCAGTGAAGTGGTTGATAATAAATACATCATAAGAGCAATTGCTTTAGATATCTAGACTTTTAACAAAATGTAGCATAGTAAGCTGATACACAAACTGCCCAGCATGGCATTTCTGGAAAAATTTGCTTGATTATCAATTCATTTCTATTGTGTAGGTCTATGAAGTTTGTTGTTAATGGCTGGTCCTCTAAGATCCATGTAATGAATGCAGGTGTACCCCAAGGCTCTCTACTCAGTCCTACTCTTTTTCTGCTATATATTAATGATCTGCCTACAAACATTCTGATCACTAGTAAATATATATACACTGCGTGCCAAATTATTATCGAGATAACTTTTTTCTAATATTTCAAAAACAGTCTAATCAATTCACATGAAATTTTCACACAATGTTGGCAACACTGACTTGTGCAATCACTGAAATTTTCGTACTGATCTGTGCAATGTAAACAAACTGGCGCTATATTTATTATCAGCACGGTGATTTGAGCATACCAAATTATTAGAAAAGTGTAAGAATTTAGTGAAAAGATGGGCCGTAAAAGCAGTTTAAGTGATGCTGAAAAGAAAACTATCACCTCAGAACTCTCAAAAGATAAATCTACCCTAGAAATTTCTAAAATGTTAGGGAGGTGTCATCAAACAGTGAAAAAGTTCACCACTGACCCTACACAAGTACTCAAAAGGGCAGATAGAGGCAAGCCAAGTGTTATTTCATGATGGCTCATGTCATGACTTAAACGAGAGGCCATAAAGAACCCTGGACTTACCAGTCAAGAGCTTTTCAGTTGCATTGGGGATCCTACTGTGTCTAAAAGTACTCGGTGTCGATATCTGAGGGAAATAGCAACAACAGTCCAACTTGTATCGAAGCCTCCGTTGACAAGAAATCACATTCAAAATCAACTGAAATGGGCCGAGGACAATATAAAGATTGACTTCTCTAAAGTTTTGTTCACAGACGAAACTCGAGCAACACTTGATGGGCCAGATAGATGGTGCAAAGGCTGGGTAATGAATGAACAGAATCGCCATCAGCGTTTGAGACACCAACAAGGCGGTGGAGGCATAATGATCTGGGGTGGTATTATTGGAAAAACATTAGTGGGCCCATGGAGAGTAGCAGATGGCGTCAAAATGACTGCTGATGCATACATAGCGTTTATGAAGGAGCATCTTGAACCATGGATGAAAAGGCAAAGAGTTGCCTTCAGAAGGGCCATTGTTTTTATGCAAGATAATGCTCCCTCACAAGCTGTTCACAAGACTACTGAATATTTGAAACAGTTAGGCTTCGATGGACCTCGAAAAATGAAATGGCCAGCAAATTCTCCAGATTTGAACCCAATCAAAACCTTTGAAGTATCATGAAGCAAAGACTGTACACCAACGGACGACAATTCAGGAGCAACGCTGAGTTGTGGGAAGCAATTCTTGACATATCTCGCGGCATTACAGCAGATGACATCCTACAATTAACAAATTCTATGGATTGTCGACTTCTTCAAGTAATTTCAAAACAGGGAAAGCACATTCCCTATTAATTTGCTTAAAACTGTGCCTTTGTATCTGTTATTATTTGTTTGATTATCTTATTTATTAGCTTCTTTTGATCATAAACATTCACGTGCAACATTAATAAATGGTTTGTTTTCTCAATTCTGGGAATTTTACTAAACCTTTCTAATAATTTGGCACGCTCAAATCACCGTGCTGATAACAAATATGGTGCCAGTTTGTGTACAATGTGCAGATCAGTACGAAAATTTCAGTGATTGCGTAGGTCAGTGTTGCCAACATTGTGTGAAAATTTTGTGTGAATTGAAATATTAGAAAAAAGCTTATCTTGATAATAATTTGGCACACAGTGTATATATATATATATATATATATATATATATATATATATATATAAGATACCATGGTTTATGAGGACACTACTAATAATCTAAATGACCTGAACTTGGCAGCTAATTGCTCTGCTGAACTAGCTTTCACAGCTCAATGGAGCAGAAACTGGTTCATAACATTCCATACCTTCAAAACCAAGTTAGTATCATTTCATCATCACAAAGCAGACCCCAAGGTAACCACAAGTGATGATGAACAGTTGTACTCTCAATGAGGCTCCTTCTCTTGAACGTCTATTGGGACTACAGTTCTCCCCAGATTTTAATTGGAACTCATATATAGATTCCATCACTAAAGAGGCTGGGAAATGGTAAGAATGACACCCTATATCATGTTCTATCATTACAAGAGTCAAATCAGACCAAAAATGGAGTATTGCAGTCATATCTGAACAGGAATGGCTCATTTACTTTCGAGCACTGATAGAGTTCAAAAGCATCTAAGCGGCCTTTTGGGTGATGAATTATTTTCTACCCATCAATTCCTCACATTGCTAGTCTCTCACAACTTTGTTCCCATGGCAAAGAACATTCTCTGATCACTAGTATATATATATATATATATATATATATATATATATATATATATATATATATATATATGTAGCTGATGCCACAGTTTATTGGGGTAGCACCAATAATCTAGATGACCTGAACTTGGCAGCTAATCACTCGGCTGAACTAGCTTCCACAGCTCAGTGGAGTAGAAACTGGTTTGTAACATTCAATACCTCCAAAATAAAGCTAGTAATGTTTCATCATCACAAAGCAGACTCTGAATTTTCTCCAATCATGATAAACAGTTATAATCTCATTGAGGCTCCTTGACTTGAACATCTATTGGGACTCATCTCACCCCAGACCTCAAATGAAACACATATATATGATCCACTATTAGTGAATCTGGAAAAATGATTGGTTCCTTGAACCATGCCAAAATGTACCCAATCTTATCTTTTTCGGCTTTGACAGACTTTAAAAGTGTCTATGCAATCTTATAAGTGATGAAGTATTCTTCACCCTACAACCTCTTTCCTCATTTCTTCCCAGTTTTCAATTGAACTCGTATATGTTTTATCACAAAAGAAGCTAGAAAATGGTCAGAATGACAGCTTGTACCTTGCTTTATCTTCACAAGAGTCAGCTCAAACCAAAAACTAGAATTGCTCAATCCTCACTTTTCAGCATTGACAGAGTTCAAAAGAATTTAAATGACCTTTTAGTGATATAATGTTTCATCATCACAAAGAAGACCCCAAGTTAACCACCGATCATGATGAATGGTTGTATTCTCAATGAGGCTCCTTGCTTTGAACTTCTATTGGGAACAGTTCACTTCAGACCTCATGCTGAACTCGTATATGCGATATATCACTAAAGATGCTGGAAAAATGGTCAGATCTTTGTACTGCTCCAAAAAGTATCTGACATCTTCTACCAAGTTCTATCTTTACATGAACCAGTGTAAATTGCTGTCGAGTAGTTTGTAACACGTTTATTGTCCAACAATCTAAGGACACATGGCACAGTGGATAAAGCCGTTGGTTAGATCCAGTGACAGGACCCAAAGAGTGTGAGTTCAATACCCGGTTATGGCAGTGGAGAACTTGCAGAGGGGAATTAACAGGAGATAACTGATAACTGACATCCATTAAACATGGCATGTGGAACTAGAACAGTCTACCCCAGTGAGTGAAATAAAGGGTTCAGTTCGACATTCCAACCACCCGAAGAAGGCTGGAGCGTACAACAGCTGAAACATTGTAATAAATATGGCGACAAAGATGAGGACAATTGTCCGAATAGTGTAAATAGTGTACATAATAGAAATATAGACAGACAATTGTTTTATGTCTTAAAACCAATGGTATCAAAATAGATTACATCATAATCGGTACCTCCAAAGAAAACTAATACCTAAGATTTAAAATGCTATCAGTGATGAAAGATGAGAAAGATATGTGATCATTCTAAAATCTGATTATAAAAACGATCCTTCCACCACAAGTGATGGCAGTCAGTAGAATAGGGTCTGTAGAGTAGAGAACAGTAGAGTAGCAGTAGTAAAAAGACCCAACACAAACATATCCTCATCCCTCTGGAAAATTGAAAATTGACTATCTCAAACATTATCC